GGCAGAGACCCAGCTGGGACCCTTTGTTTGTCAGGAGTGGTTGGAGTCCTTTCAGTTTGTCATTTTCAACCCACAAGGTGTTTTTTGTTGTTGTCTTTTTTTTTAACAAGGTTTTTAAGTTGAATGAAAATGTGGATTTAAAAACCTCCTGCTAGGTGGGAATGGTAGCTTATCTCAGGGAGAAATACCAAATATTTAACAGATTAATGAAGCCCAGGGGTTTTGAAAAATTAACTACCTCCTCTAATGTAGCAACGTGGAAATGGCTTTTGGCTTTTGCCAACCAGCGAGTAACTCACATGGGCATAAAACCTGCCGTTTACCAGTGGTAGCAACTCAACCCGGCAGAAATGGTTTCTGTGCCCAGCTGTGGTCGCCGAATAGCCCGATCAAGCTCGCTACCCCAGAAGTATGTTTTCAGTAAGGCTCATAAGCCTTGTAGGGAGGAAAATTTGGGGTGTTCTTCTCTCAGATTTCTTGGCTTCACTCATGGGCTATGCTGGTTTCTAATTTTATGGTCACAGAATAGAAAGCCAAAACGTGAACAGAAGCTTGACTCTGTGTGTACGTTCACGGTCTTTCACATAGCACTGCGACAGGTAGGCCCAAGTCGTGCGCTTGCTGCCCACCACAGCAAGTCTGACTTTATTATATTTCTTCACCTCATAGATTGGAGCTAGGCCAGAGGTTCCAGGCAAGCAGGCAGGGCAGAACAAGGAGACATAAATTCACTGCAGACCGAAGATTCTGGACAGCAGTTGCCCTAGGGCCTATTATCCTGTATTATTCATCCTAGCTGAGTGGTAGCATTTTTACCTTTGTACATTTTATGATGGTACAACATACATTTTTTTCTTCAATATAAAGCCAGTCTAGTTGCAAAATCTACCCCTTTGAACTGGGCAGTGTCTTATTTCTCTCAAAACTGTACAAAGTCTTCACTAACAGATTTATTTTTTCAGTTTAAAGCAGTTGAAAACCTTTAATGCCCGTCGTAGGTTTACGCCCCTCATTTAAGATTTGGGTGACATCTGAGGACAGTCATGCCATATTTAATAAAAAAAAAATGTTTTGTCAGTGCTGGGGAAAAGGCCAGGAGTCCAGAATGCAACTACTCTTTCTACTTTGGAGGATGTTTCAGTTCAAGGTCTCGCTATCCCCTTTTCAGTAGTTGCCTTGTAGATCAGTGTAAAAGGAGCAGGGAATTGGAAGACGGAGGTGGCCGCTACAGGCATCCAGCCACGGCACTCCTGGAATTGAATGACAATAAATACCTGTATCTCTTAGAGATTAGGTTAACTTAATCTAGCATCTAGGAAACTAGTCTCAAGTGTATTTAAGTCTTTACTGAAGAGAAAAATGTGTACTTCATGAGTAAGAATAAAATCTATGATTTTCATTATTTGATGCTGAGCTGTTTGCTTTCCCGGGACTGGCCACAGCTGTGACTGTCACAGCCCTATGTCATGTCATAGTAAGAAGTCACAAGAGAGCAGAACAAACTCCTCTTGACTTTAGAGCAAGCAGCCCTGGTTTAATCATCACTGATGAACAACCTGGATGCTTGACTTTAATCTCGCTCGCTAAGCGTCAGTTTCCTGTCAGTTAGGTGATAATTCCTCTCAGGGCCTTGGTGACTAAGAAGGGCGACAATCGCAGTGCACCTGGGCTGGCGTCTTACAGACAGCTGAGCGTGTTCCCTGTGGATGGGTCCTGCCCTGTCCTGTGACTTGGTCTCATGCTGCCTCGTGGGTGTATTTATTTTATTCTATTTTTCTGTACTTAGTACAGGGTCTACAGGGTCTCACTACATAGATCAGACTCATAATGATCCTCCTGCTTTCAGTCTCCCCAGTGCTTGGATTACAGACAGGCACAGCCACCACGCCCAGTCTCAGTGGCTGTCTCAGCCGCCCTGGGGGCGGGACCGGCAGGGCACACCAGGGGTCCTCATGGGTTTATTGATGGTGGTAAACTTCTCATCTTTACAGTCAGGGTCTTATTTCCACCTCTAAGGGACTTAGTCTTGAAAATAAGCAGCAGCCATTTTGGTGACTGTTATACTTTGACTCAAATCAAATTTCTTAAGACTCTTCGGACTACAATGTGAAGGGTCTCATCTTTGTCATTAGAAGATCCTACAAAAGGAAAACGTGAATGGGCTGGGTATGGCAGAGGCAGACTCAGTTGTAGTCTCCTGTGAGGTCCTCTGTTCTGTGACCTGCTTCCCTTGCCACCTTTATTCCACCGGTTGCCTTGCCTGTGGCACACAGGACTCCTTGGTGAAATTAATAATCTCATCTGGGTAAATTAAACTGGTGTCTCTTGCTATGCCACTGTGTTCAACTCATAAAACACGTGAGGCCACGGAGGCGGGCCTGGAAAGTAAGGGAATGCACAGCTGCCACAGGTAGATCATTTGGCTCTCCAGCTCTCCCTTTGCCACTGTTATACAGATTTTTCATTTTCCTGCAAGGAAATCTCATCAAATCTCATTTTTGTGTGTTTGCTTGGAACATGGTGGAGGAAAGGAGTCTCCTTTTCATTAGCTGTTCCTGTTGAAGTCTTATCTCCGTTATGCAGTGTAGGAGGGCTCTGCTGCTGGTGGTGTTTGAAAGCTGTTATTTGGGTGTCAAACATTTCTAGGCAAGATTTCTTATTTGCTCGAGACACTGCTTTTCATTTTATCTACAGAAGATAGTTTCAGCCATGCTTATTTGGTGTGTGACTTTATTTTGCTTTCCATCTTTCTTTTATAAAAAAAAGTTGCCATTTATGGAATGACTTGATTTTCTGCAAGTAGAGGAAAGAAACTAAAGTAGATTTGAAAATATTTTGATTTCACAGACATGCATGTATATATTATGACATCAGTATATGTTACTCTTACGTTTGTTGATTGTCTTATTCAAGAAAAACAATCCATAATTCAGAAAAATGGCTAAATAGAACGTTAGGGAAATACAAATTTATAGTCATGCCTGTAGCTCACTGTATGGACAAAATCTTGAGTATTTGAGATTTACATCCTTCCTTTCATTCTCATCTGCACAGACGTTGGACAGAGATGTAAGTCTATGAAATACACAGGCCACCCATTTGTTGTGTGGAGCAGCAGTGGACTAGGAAGATGTGCTAAATTTTAAATATATGCAAATCACAGTGGACCAGCGCTGCAAGTTACCCCTCTTAGACCACAACTACCTTCCCTGTAGTGTGACGCAGGCTCTTCCGCTGTCCCAGGCCCATTCAGCTATAAACCTATTCTGTTTTATTCCAAAGATGTACAGCACTGATGAACACAACTCTAATTCTCTATCAGAAATTTCCTGCATTTCTTTAAGACACAGATAGGAACATCTGTGAGCTTCATTAACTCCCTTAGCCTTCAGAAGAAAAGATTTCTGAAAATTTATTGATGCCCCCGCGCGCCCCACCCCCACCCCCCACGCAGCCCAGCTTGGATTTGCTAACCATTTAATCCATTCCCAGCACTGGGCTGGGCCACGTGAGTAGGTAAAAACATAGAAGTATTTCTTGGTGCAGTTAATAACTGGAAACACCTTGATTATATATTTAAAAATGAAATAAAATTATATATTTAAAAATGAAATAAAATATTATTTAGTCATAAAAAAAAAGAAAATGACAAAATAAAAAATGGACACAAGTATATTACAAAATACAGTAACGCTTGTATTTATTAGATACTTTTTACTGCTGGCATGATACTCGTTGAATCCCAATCCTAACCCCTAAGATAAATGGTATCATCACTCCAAACATACAGAGAAAACTGAGGCACTGAGAAGAGTGAAGTAAATTATCCCAAGTTGCTATTCCATGCAAGGGTTTAAAGAAAACATTTTAGAGGTCTCAGGGGCCCCTGCAATAAGTGAGTTTAAATATTGAGAAAAAGTACAATATAAGGGGAATGCATTTGACTTTCTAGGCAGATAGGATTTTGATTAAAAAGCAAAAGCAGTTTTCCTCCTTGGCAACTGGCATTTTAAAAATGTAAATTTATGACTGTGTGCTTTGGGGGAAAGAGTCCCCAAAAAGGACTGAAATTGGGTCAGCTGTTAGAGTTGCACACTGGAGATGGTTGCCAGTGGGACTGGAGGAGTTGCTACCTGTCCTCGAGGCAGGGCCCCCCTCGTGGCTCGCAGAGGGACTGTTCCCCCTTTGCATTGTGGCCTGGAGCCCAGCACTCTAGCAAATATGGTCCTGGGTCTCCCTTTGCCTGTTTTCATGGGGGTGTTGGGGACATGACTCTGGTGGTCCTTAGGACAGGTGCTGCCAAACCTGTGCATATGTAGGTGCTCTAAGGTGGTAAATCAGGAAGTGAGGCAGGAGTGGGAGTACCAGCCTGGCCGTCCTCCGTGCAGTCACTGTGAGGGAAGGGCAGGAGACGGGAGGGGAAAGGGAAGGAGAAAAAGAAAGCAAAGCACAGAAGAGAAGAGAAGAGAAGAGAAGAGAAGAGAAGAGAAGAGAAGAGAAGAGAAGAGCCTTGCAGACTCAAGCCTCTCTCCTTCCTGAAGAGCCCGCTGCTGCCTGTGCAAGCAGAACTCCGCCGTTCCTCCTCCCAGCCTGCCCCTCAGCTGCTGAGAGGCAGAGAGCTGCCCAGAGGCCTCCGGCTGTAACCCTCTGCTGGAGAGTTCCTGGGAGGCAGTAGCCCACTGGCTGCGGGAGATGGAGCAGCTCCCAGCCCTCCTTGATTAGGGTATGTCAGGGTTGTCAGGGCAACTGTTCACGGGGGCAGCGTGTCGTCTTTTCCCTTCTCTGCTGTGCGCCGGAATATTTTACTGTGCAGAGGAGGAAGAAGATTGGGGAAAGTGCCGCAGCAGAAAGGAGAAGCTGGGATCTGATTGTACAGGTTAGGCAGGGAGGGAGGCATCTGGACCCGCATGGCTGGAGGAGTAGGGCTTCGCTGGAAGGGGTGTATGCATGCGTGTGTGCAAGTGTGAGCGGATGTCCTTATCCGTGCGTGTGGCCAGGAGCAGCTGCTAGGTGAGGGGGGACTGCAGGGCCTCAGTTGCCAAGTGGCTGGTAGTGTCTGTCAGCTGTTTGCACACTGTTTACCCATAGGGGATCTATTACAAGTGCTCCAATGAACCAGCAGCTTCCTGGGAGCTGCAATTACATAAGCATATATTTTTAATATAATAATAATTAAAAAGCAAGTAGCAGCAGCGGTATGCCTGGATCAGCCACAGCTATCCGACAAGAGAGACTGAAGAAGACCAGTGCAAGGCCAATTCCCCTTGGTTTATTCACCATTAATGAGGAAGATGAACAGCCCAAGAATGGAAATTCCAGAAGACCGAAAGGTATGCATTAGCTCTCCGCTTGGCTTGGAGTCGGCTCCATCCCTGTTTCCCACCGTGTTTATGTGTACATTTTACAAACTACTTACAGTGCCTGCTCTGGGGAGAACTGGCGACCCAGCTCGCTCGCTGGTGGTGTATACACACCCTGGGGAGCTGTGCATGCCTGAAGCGGGAATCGCTTGTACAGATTTTGTAACCTCCAGGTCACTACCTTTGACCCCAGCTACTTGCGTGGCCTGGAGAGCTTTAATTTTCATGTGCTCTCTTAAAACAGGGGCTGTGACTCTGTCCTCATGCTTCAAAAATCAGAGTTTTCAAGGTTTACACGAACACCTCCACACCTGGCGTAGGTGCATGGGTGATTTGTGTTTCCTGGGCAAGTGAGTTTTCCCTTAAAAGGGGCTGGTTAGAAGAGTGACCTTAAGACCGCAGCTCTTTCAGGGGCATTGGTTGAGGATGTGGCTGGCTTTTCCATACTGAAGTGCTGGGAGCGAAGGGGAAGGAGCCAGACCTTGAGCAGGATGCAGAGCTGAGGAGCTGGGAGCACACAGCAAGGCTTCATGACTTCTGAAGACTCTGCCCCTTGGCTCTTGGGTAGCGGTTGGAATGTGCTGGGTACAGAAAACAGAGCTCGGAGTTGTGCGCTGTTTTCTCAGAAGACGTGTTGTAGCAGCTGGCCGAGCTCCTTGCGTCCCGTGTACAGGCAGCATGGGCCGTAGCATTGTCTCCTAGCCACTCTCCCAGGGCTATAATTATCAGGCAGAGATGCAGCCTCATGCATTTTTGAAGAAGGGCTTTAAGGCTTCCGTTTGAAGTTCTGTAACATTCTTAGTCTTGCACCCCTCTTGGAAAAATGTATGTGCTCTTTTTAAGCGGATGGATGGTCAGTGTTGTTTTTCTGTGCCGATGAAATTTTACCTTGCATTCAGACTATCCTGCTGCTGAAATACCACATTTCCCTTAGAGTGGCACAAGACAGCAAGCGTGGTAAAGGAGCAGCAGATGCTTTAGCAATGTAGAATGAGTCTTAAATAGAATCCAGGCTTCTTAGACGATTGGTTTTCTTTTTCCTGGTTCTTCAGTGAATCATAGTTTGCTTTTATTGAATATAATTGAAACTGCACTTGAAATCTGAAAGTGTATTTTTACTTACTCCTTCAAAGACTGTATGAGGAAGTTCTAGTAAGTGGCATCTGACTGCTCTGCTTGCGTCTTGCATCCTGTCAGACGTGACAGCTGAGGATCAAACAACCTCTGAAATCCAGTGACACCACAATGGAAAGGGATTTACGTGCTGTTTTTATTTGCCTATAAATTAAATGAACCAGAGTGTGCTGCTCTTGAGAGGTCAGTGCTTTAAATTGTCAGTGGCAAGTCACTTACCCTCGAAGAAGTTGGTAACTTTCAGAATTAATGCAGATTTGCTGAGTTGTTCGCACAGGGTATTTCTGGTAACACTCCTGATTGGTGGCTCTTTCCTTGGGGGTCTTGGAACTGTAATTTCGGACAGCCATTCATTTTATTCTTAGGAATTTTCTTGAAGCCCTTGTCTCAGGTCCTGTGGGGATTTGTTATTGTTTCAGTTGCCTTTTAATATTTTATTTTAAAGGGAGAGGAAGAGGGAGAAAGTGGTACTTCTAGAAATCTATTTGTTTGGGGCAGTTTATGTGGCTAAGAGTCTTAAATCAAAGAGTTTCAGATCTCCTACCATATTTTCCTTTCTCTTCCTCCCCACACCAAAAACAAAACAGAAAAGATGGGGCAGGGGCTGGTTCTTGCTAATAAAGATGTCCAGACTTTCTTTATCCCTAAATGTCTCTAATTTATGATGCATTTGACAAAATAGGCAGATAAACAACCCTGGGTATCTATGCTTGATGAGTAGAACTATTTTGACTTTGGTTTTGAATTTCTCACCCATCCTAGCTGGGCAGTAGAAGGGTTCCCTCTGGTCCACTCTGTTTAATTGAAAAAGGATGGACTGTTCTCTGTCTGCTTTGTCCAGAGCGTTAGCCATTCTCTACACATGGCAACAGACACCTAAAGTATGGCTGCTAGAACAGAGAAGGTGATTTTTTGTTTTTAGTTACCTTATTGTACACCACAGTTCTAGTCTTAGAGCTACGACATGCTGGATTTGTGCCCTCTCTGCTTTGTCCATTCCTATTGCTTCCTGGTGCGAGACATGGTCAGGTCTGTGGAGGGATATAGCTTTTATTTTAATTTTATTTTATGTATTTGGTACAGGGTTTTACTGCACAGCTTGGAGTCGTGGTGATCCTCCTGTTTTCAGCCTCCCCAGCACTGAGATTATAGGTATGCACCACCACATCCAGACTCTTTTGGACAGCTCAGCACGCCCAGGGGCGGAGCCAGCATGTAGTCTGGTATTAAACCCTGGTTCCTGCACTTGGCCTAAGCAGGTGCTTAGTCTACTGAGCTATTTCACCGGCCCTGGATGTGTTCTGTTTTTGTTTTTTGTCTTTAGTACAGGTTCTACAGGGTCTCACTACATAGACTGAACTCGTAGTGACCCTCCTATCTACAGCCTCCCAAGTGCTTGGATTACAGGCGCGCACCACGCCTGCTCAGTATGCCCTGGGGGCGGGGCTGGCATGCAGGCCCAGGGATCGAACTCCTGGCCCCTGCATCTGCCTGAGCAGGTGCTTTAGTCTGCTGAGCTATTTGTCCAGCCCTGGATGTGGTTTTGAAGGGTAGTGTGAAACACTTTTGTTTTTCCTTTTCCACTTCCGTCTTCTTGCACGCTTCTGAATATTATTCTGTACCTGTCAGTAGTTACCCAGATCATCTTTTGCTATTTTTAATGGGCTCCTGTTTACTAAATTGTTACTTCCAGAGCATCATAGCAAGACAGTGTGGCAGGTTATCTTATGAATGACTTTTTTTTTTCTTTTTTGTGGTACCAGGAATCAAACTCAGGACCTTGTGCTTGCTAGGCAAGCGCATAATGCCACTGAGCTATATATCCCTGGTCCCGATGTATGACTATTAAGATAAACTATGTTTTCTTTGCTTCTTATTCCATGGCTCATTCACCAGTCATATCTAGTGTCACGATCCAGTTTGCATGGTCAGTACCTCTTTTTAAAATCTTTTTATCATTACTAGTAATAAAGGAGGTTGGTATCTAAAGTCAGTAAGCTGACTGCTTCCATCAAGGATTATTCTAGCTTCTTGATGAGTACCTTCTTTGCAGATACCCATGCTGAGGCCTGACCATTGTCATCGACTCCAAGGGAGGGGACCTAGTGGTTGCCATTTGGACTGGCAAGCAGTGGCTCCCAAGTTCCCCGGCGGGGTGAGACAGGAGTGTGTAATAGTAGACTGACTACATTAACTCTTGGAGGATTAGTCACCTGTGTAATGAATTGGAATGTAAATGTTTCACGTCCCTTATTATTATTAATATGTGACATTTAAATAATAGTAGGAAGTGAGCAGCGCTTAGGCTGTTGCTGCTCCTCCGCCCTGCAATGCCGAGCTCGGGCCTGCCTGGGCAAGATTGTTTAGGCACTGCAGTAAGCAAATGCCCTTGGATGAGTTTCAAGGCAAACCTGCCCGAAGAATTTTGCTGAGCCCGGTGTGATTATTAAGACATTTTTCTACCTAAAACAGGATTGATTTGCTCACTCTGCAGCAGATGGCTGTCTTGGGGTGTTTTGTAAGTGTCACGACGCAAAGATAATTGACACGGTTTTCCTCTCAGATGTGTTGACTGACTAGTGGGGGCTGACAGCATGTGCAGGTAACGCAGGGGCGTAAGGTGAAGCAAGGAGAGCGCAAGAGAGGGTGACCGTGGCCCGAATGTTGACTGTATGGCAACCGGGAAACTGTTAATCTCCAGTTTTCAAATGAGAATAAAGGGATTAAAGAATGGAGGTTCCTGTCCTACCCGGCCTATATGTTCAGCTGCGTTGGAAGCTCACAGGGGACTTAGAGCAGGACCGTAGGGCACTGGATGGAGAAGCTGGTACCAGCTGCAATACCTGTGTCTGGGAACTGCTCAGTAGTACTGTTTCACCAGGAGCTGAAGTCTAAACTGGGAGTCCGGGAGCCTTATTCGGTGTATAGGTATACTTACTTTTCCCTTGTAGGATTTTTGCTTTGTTTTGTGTCTGTTACCAGCAACAGAGAACTGTCTTGCAATACGCTGGATCTCAGCTGTCTTGAAAAATTAGAAGGCCTGCGCACACCTTGCCCATGTGCTTCATGGCAGAGGTCAGCAGCTGCCACTGCAGAGCGTGGGCACGTGTGTGCCCCTGTCCTGCCTGCTAGTGTGCAGCACCTGGCCTGCCTCAGTCGTCTGTGTGAACAGGCTCCCTTGCGTCTATAACACTGGAGCTGGAGCATAGGTCTGCATTGTAGCATGGCTATAGACTATTTACCATCTGCCTCTTTGTCTTCTTCCCTGCCACCCTCGCCTCTGCTGCTGGCCCTTCTCACATGCTCTCGCTTGCTTCTATGTCCTCCTCGTGGTCTTCCCTCCTTTTCTCCTCTATGGACAGTGGTTATGAGTTAGCACCGGAATGTTGTCCTTTCCTGCAGACATCCCGGACTGTCTCCTCTGGGAGCGAGCCCTCTCTTGTGGCCTCTCCTCCAGACAAAGGAGTGAGGACAGCTCCATCACTTTCACGCTGGTCTCTGTGTGTAGTTATGCACCTGCTGGCTTTCTGTAGCCGGTCCAGGACTCTTCCTCGCCATATGCCGTGCAGTACAGAGAGCACGCAGCATTAGTGCAGGAAAGTAAACTTAACCTGTAGAACAGCTTTCGTAGGCTGGGGGTATTGGCACACACCCTAACCCCAGCCGCTCAGGAGACTGAAGCAGGAAGCCCGCAAGGTTGAGGCCAGGCTAGGTAATTCAGTGAGACTTAACAAAAAGGCGTCATGGCCTCTAGAGCTCTTTCTCACATAGAAATTCCAAGAAATATTGATAGTGTTAGTATTGTCCTTCCAAGGTAATTACTTCGAAAGAGACAA